AGAGACTCTTAAAAACTGAGAATAAACTGAGGGTTGATGGGGGGTGGGAAGGAAGGGAAAGTGGGTGATGGGCATTGAGGGATGAGCACTGGGTATTGTATGGAAAACAATTTGACAATAAATTTCATATTAAAAAAATAAAATAGAGCATGGGCAGGGGCAGAGAGAGAGGGGAGGATAGAGGATCTGAAGTGGAGAGCCCGATGCAGGGCTCGAACCCACAAATCTGAGATCATGACCTAAACTGAAGGCAGACGCTTAAGAGACTGAACCACCCAGGTGCCCGCTGTATTTAACTTTTTATTTATTTATAATTCACACAGAAGAAACCTAACATAACACTAGCCCTCCCACATCCTCTTTACCAGCTTCAACCACTAATAGTAGATGGTCAATCACATTACATCCATAATGTGCCCTCATTTTTTTATGTTTTTGCTTAATAGAAGCAATTAGTGTCTTACTTAATAGAAGATAGGTGGATTCTCATGATGAAACACATTGTTTTTGTAGCAAAATATGTAAATATTTATAATAAGAAGCATAAAGAAGCTTTATGTAAGTTAAAATATGTAAATATTTATAATAAGCATAAAAAAATTCAGTTCAGGTGGTGCTGCAAAATGAAAAAAGGCTTCAGCTTTTTAGAACTTTAAAAATTTCAGAATTGAGGATACAAGATTATAGGCCTGTTTTTTTTTTTTCCTTGCTTTGCTTTTTCTTACTTTAATGGGAATATCAGTATTATGTCACCATTACTAGTGTGTGTGGAATTTTAATCAAATTCTTTCTAGAACATGGTTTTATTAGATAGGAGTTTCATAGTTGATGGGGGTATATGCAGAATCTGATATCATTATATGAAATGTCTTAACATACTTACACAATGAAAACAATCTATTTAATTGTTTTCTTATGTTCTAAGGATCATTAGCTTGAACCAAAACTGTGCTTCCCTGGGATTCATATTTTTCTAAGCTTGCGCCAAGGATCTTATGGTGAGCTCACCAGGGATTTGCTGATATGAGGCAACAAAGAACCTCCTGGGAAAGAACTCATCTTAAGGATGAGAGTAGCATGCACAAGCCCAATAGCCCCGCGTTACCGAAAGCGTCCACTTTCACAAAGGCATGATGTGTGTCACTAGGAGCCCCCTCATAAAACCCTCATAAGTGTGTGCCTGGGCTTTGTAGAAGAGGAAGTCAGCTGTTTTCTTACTGTTACATTGCGTTGTGTTTCTAACGTTAGGCATTAGGAGCATAAGACAGCACACGACAATTTGAGAGAGGTGCTATAGGGGTGAAATTAGTCCTCTTGATCTTCACATTCTCCCCATGCATGTACCATGACCCACGTGGCTCTTTGATTTCCAAGCCCTCCACGATGGGGTCCAAGTCCTCCACAGAAACTTTGTGCCTAAAACCCACAACACGAGCCTGCTCGTAGAATTTCCAGCACCTTTTCTCTCTGACACCTTTGCTCCTTTGCCTACTGAGACAATTCCCTGCAGCACCCTATAATCAAAACCCTAAAATTCTCAAGTGTTTTGTTTTTGTTTTTATTCTTTTGCCTTTCTCAAACTGTAATAGGAACCCCCTTGGCCAGAGGGACACTGTGTTTATTTTACTTATTTCAACTCCCTTATCCCTGCCCACCCAGGAAAAGTTATATCTTACTTACCCTCTCCCTGTGCTGGGCAGAACATGAGTCCTTACAGGCCATCTTTTAAAATTATTTCTATTATTAGTCATTAAAAACTATGTGGAGATATGTTCACAAAGCTCCTTTGTGTGTGTGTGTGTTTTTTTTTTTCAGTTCAAAATTAAAACCCTAGAGTAGTTTTCTCAAGGTCTTGTGTTATTTGGTGATGAGCTACATGAGTAACTTACAGTCTAAACTCATGTTATATTCCAACTCTTGCATTAAAAATTCTGTCTAGATTTAAGTAAAGATTGTGAGGAAAAAAATAAAGCAAAAATTCTGATCCTATGGCTTTGAAATACTAAGTGTCGTGCTGATTATTTCTGTGTTCTGCTTTATGTCCCTTTCCTGTGTAACGTTTTAAAATTCATCTTTGTTCTAGAATGAGACTAATAAGAACCATGATCCTTGTATTTCTTTAAGCTAAAAACAATCTAACATTGAAGAAATTAACATGAAAAAAACTGAAATATATTAAATTCACAGGAATCCTACCACTAGCAATGAAAATTTTGAAGCATAACATTTACAAATCATCATTACACACTTCAGAGTGTAACGAGAATTTTTTATAACATCAGTGCCTCTCTTCACTCTAGTTGCTACACTTTGAAAGGCCCACACTAAACCTACAGAGAATTTCAATATGCGTCTGCTATTTTTGGCCTGAAGTACGGCAAAATTCTGCTCATCAGTCTTCACGTTGGAAGCTCGTAAACGAGCTATAGTATAATCTGTTTCACAGGTGTACTTTTTTAACTTGGCAGGCAAGGCTTTACTGATTTATGATTATATAAATACCCACTCAAGATGTGAACAAAATCATCAAAACGATGTAATCTACTTACATAGTTTGAAAGAAAAATTTTTTCCAGTCTTAGCTAAAGCATTACCAAGAGAGTTGGTGGTAAGGAGGCAGTGTGGTATGTCAAGGGGGGCAGAGGACGGAAAGGAAAGATGGAGGAATTCCAGGATGAAAGCATACTTTAAAATCTTAGGAAGCAAAAGTATTCCAGCTGAGTTTCTCATGAATTTGCCTGCTTACAATGGCCAATCATTTTTTAACTTTATTCAGCAAGTAGGAGTCTTCACTGTGCCAGATCCTGAATAACAGGAGCAGAAAATGACAAGGCAGTGTATTGATTCTAGAGCTTGTTCGAGTTCTTGCTCCTTGCTCACCCTGTCTTGACAGGCAGGGCACCAGAGGTCATTTTTCCCATTCCTAAAACTTTAGTGGTTGGCGCTAAGTGAGTATTCATTCCAGGGTTCGTGAGCTAAGACAGTAGGATAGAGACCACACGTTCCTATTCTTCTAACGTACCTAAAAGTATATACTGTTTTTACCTTGGACATTGCCTGTCTTCTTTGGCCAAATAATGTTCCATTATGACTTTCGAATTGAGAGATGTAGATGGATGGATGGACAAAAGGGTGGATGGGTGGATGGATGGATGGAAGGTTTATGTTAACCATGTTAAGCAACCATTGGGTAAAATAAGTGCCCTTGAGAAACATGGACGAAATGAAGACTAATCCTTAACACACATTGCAAATGACCAACCTTACTTGCTGTGTGCCTTTATTTCCAGTCATGATTATCTTGTTTTATTTTTCTTTAACAGCTATGCTGTAAATGCATAATTGCAGGTTTCAAAACATCCTTTCTACTCCATGCAAAGTGCATGAATTGTTGGTCCCTAAGATGCTAAATCTCCATTTAATGGAATGTTGGTTATTAAATATGAAACCTTTCCTCTGTTTCAGCCCCACACAGATTGTACACTACTCCTGTGAGGCCCAGAACATCTGACAAAGCACACATCAGACCCGGTAAGTTGTTTCTCTTTTTGGAGACCTAAATAATCACACCTGAGAAGGTATCAAATGTATAGAAACAGCAACATACACCAAAGGAGGGATATATATATATACTTAAATGGCAATAACAGATGTACAGAAATTCAGATCTTTGTGGATAAGTAGAGAGGTAATGATCACTTCCATGGAAGTGATACAATGTGACTAAGGTTTTTAAGGATGACCAGATATAAAGACTCCTGTGGAACTTTATCAGTATAGGAATATTTTTAGAACAGTATTTGTGTGTAAATCTCACACATAGTCCTTCAGTTTTCCATGGCAATTACAGAAATAACATTAGAGTTAGCTATTCAGATACACTAGCTCTCAAATGTTATTTAAGAAGAGATGGTCTCTTCCAGTATAAAAGACCCTTGTTCTGGGAGAATATTTTTACTTGATTCCTTCAAGCGATAAAACACACACACATTTTATAGGCTGTATACAGTAAAAATGATAAACATTAGAAAATACATTTACTGAATTCTCCAAAAGCTCTAGGCTCTCCCTCACTGGAGCTTGTTAATGAAAAGGTAACTTAGGAAGGTTCATCTGGTTCATGTAAATTGCTCCTGTGCTAAAGCACAAGTTGGACCAAAGACACTATTATGTACCCGTTGGTTGCTGCAATTCTAAGTCTTCTTAAAGTTCTAAATGGTGAAGCTGGCTTATAAATTAATGTTCTTGGTGAACATCTCTCCAGGTATGTGGGAGAAGGAACAATAATTCTTCTTATCCTTTGGTTTATGGAGATTTCATGCTTTTTTTGCAGTAATATTCCAATACCTAAAGGTAATTAGACACAGACATCTTTTATAAACAAGTGTATCTCCATGTGCCCTCTATATCATGATAGCTGTTGAGAGCTTAATGTGTGGCTGGTTATATTAAAGGTTTCTACAAAATAATGAAACAGTAACAATAGCTAACATTGACTGAGGGCTTGTCATATGTCTGATGTGGGGTACAGTTGAGGAAGCCAAGGCATGAGAAGAGCTAGGAAGTAGATTTTAAGGTAAACAACCTGGTTCCAGAACTTGGTCTCTCAATCACAATACACTTAGTGCTTTTCCTTGAAGTGTCTTCCAAACAGACAGGTGATCTCTAAAAGTGTTGGTAATACTCTGGCTCTCCATGGAGCAGGGGAGAAATGAAAATGGTTTCATCATGCTCTGTGTTCAACAATGGACTTATGCCAGGTTAAGAGGGGACATTTGTACCTAGAGACCCCTGTAGAAGAACCACCAACTTATGAATTTTAAATTAAGGCCTTGGCACATAAAGGCACTTCAGGTTTGGTTTTTCATTGGGTGTAGTAGTCTCAATCTTTTTTCAGTTCTGTTTTGGAATGTATCTAGTGCTTATAAATGAAGTGAGGGATTTCCCATTTAGACATATAAATTCCCTTGCCAGTTATTTCTTCAAGCCCAGTGATCACCTCAGAGTACAAACTCAAGTCTCTAGTCCCAAATTCAAATCTATTATTTTTAAACCAGAATTGTGGTTTCCATATTCTGAACAATATGTGTGGTAAGCCACAATTTTTCCATTGCTTAGTTAAATGACTTCCAATTCTCCAGGAACTTTTGCTTTCCTTAACTACAAAGTTTTAAAAAGAAAATACCTGACCTTTTTATTCCCATTTTATTGTAGTTCTGAATAAGACAACTACAAGACCTAGTAGACTCAAACCCAGTGGGACGCCCAAAGGAAATGGAATGGGAGCTGGTAATGATCACAAATTTATTTCCTTTTGATCCTCTCTAAGCTACAAATGTTTCATTCAAAATTTATACTTTTGTTGAATTCACACTTCAAATTTCTTCTTTTACCAATCTTGGAAGTTCTTAATGTAACTGGAATTGGAAATTGTACATCTTTCCAAAATCAAAATTTCCAATGTCTCTGAAAACATGGAAAAAGAATTTTTCTTTCCTAAACTCAGCTCACTAAATCAGCTACCATATATAATCTTGATCCTTGAAAAGATCCTGATTAAATAGTATCATATGTATCACTGAATGAAAATATCAAAATAGCTGTTTTCCCTAATTTCAGAAACACTATCCATGCATAGGCTTGGCCTTTCAGACTATAATCACTTGGCTTTTAAGTTTGTAATTTCACAAGTACCATTACAATTTTTTTTTTTTGCATTTGTTGTAATCTGGAACATGACATTCTAACAAGAGGAGCTAAGACTCAGAGTAAAGTTTCCAAATCATTCAGTTTAATTCAGGAATTAAGTGACATTGCCCTAATCCAGCCAGATTTGTGGGGAGTTGAAATTATACAGATAACTAAGAAAATGGTGTGATAAAAGTTCAAACACCCAACTCACTAAATAGATAAATAGTAGTTATTAGATGCCTTCATATGGGATTGCATCATTTCCTTGCAATATTGCAATATTTTTTAATAGTACAAATCATATACTTATGCAAAAGAGCATGGAAATTAGAATTGATTTAGTGCATATATATTTAATCCATGATGATTCCCTAATGAGAGAGAGATATAAATAATACCTAATTATATTTGGTCTAGAAATCATTTAGATTTGTTGTACAGTGTTTTTTGTTTTTGGTTTTTGGGGTGGATTTTGTTTTGTTTTTGTCCTAGGTTATTACAGTGTGTGAAGTTCTAGGAATCCACACTTTCCTTCAAATTAATTAATGAGGCAATTACTATAAACCCCTGACTCATGAAAAGCAAGAAAGCATTCCATTATCTATTTGTGCTCATCTGTTCCTTTTATTATTCCCAACTGTAGGTTTAGGCAATGCATAGTTTCTCAGACTGATATAAACAGTCTGGCTCTTAACAGAGCCACCTTGTTAATAGTCAAAGCAATTCCCTGGAGTTTGTCTAAGCAAAAATAGAAACATTTCTGTCAACAAAGCAAGTGAAAAAACAGTACCTATGATCAAACATGAAAGTCATTAACCTTCAGTGTAATCAAGCATTGATTCTCACTAGGAGAATGCTAATTGTCTTTCAGAAAGAAAACAGCATTATTACAAGTTTATCTGCAATACAAACATTTTTTTCTAGACCCCCTTGTAACACAAATTGACATCCCTTCCCCTTTTGTGTAGATGAAATCAACTCTGTAGTATTACTCATCTAGCTAAACTGTGGAAGGATGATCTCTAAGCAGAGCTTCTTAGTTGCTAGTAGAAATGAGCTGGTGAGCACAGGTAGACAAAGGTGAGTTCAGTTTCTGCTTCCCTTGTTCTACGTCCACCCCCAACTAAAATGCATCGCACATGTTCTTTGCTCTATTACCTATTGAGATTCCCCTTCAGGGGAGGACCTACTGCCCATCTGCAAGGAATGAGGTCAGCAGACAGCATCCCCTTTCAGTTCCTTCAGGATCAGCCTCTGCTAAGAGAGCCTTGATTAGAGGTCTGGGAGTGATACATCCCCAAATCTACTACATTATCACATAACCAATTGATGCTTGCCTCAGGAATGCAAGGTTGGTTCAACATTCAAAGAAATTTAATTCACCACATTAACAGAGAAAAGGAGAAAAATCATACAATCACCTCAGTAAATACAAAAAAAAAAGCAACCATTAGATAAAATTCAAAATCCATTCATGATGAAAATTTTCAGAAAACAAGGAATAGAAGAAATTTTTCTCACTCTGATAAGGAGCATCTGTGAAAAACCTACAACTGACATCATATTTAACAGTGGTCTGAATGTTTTTCTCCTAACATCAAGAACACAAGGATTCCTACTTTTACCACTTATGCTGAAAACAGTAGTGGAGTATTCAGCCAGTGCAATGAGGCAAAAAGGAAAGTAAAATGGTAAAAAAAAATTGAAAATCACAGATAACATGTAGGATATTATGAAAGGAAAATTTAATAGCTTTCAGACTATTTGCTTAGGGAATAAGGTTTTTAAAAACTGGTGAGAAAAAGAATTTTTTGAAATCTATTCATTCCAGGTTATTGACTTAAATGTGTCCCCCTCACTTTGACTCTGCATAGTTTCATTCTGGCTTGTTTACCAGAAATGTAGGTATTTACATTAAGTTTATTTTCTTCTCTGACCCCAATCCCATGATCTCATCTACATTCACTTCTAGCTTCTGTTGAGTCTTAATGAGACTTAATTTCTACACCAACTGATTCTTAATCAACTTTGACATCTTGTCCAGAATATTTCTTTGTTATTCATCCACGTTACATACATTTTCCTGTAGTTTTTCTGTCTAAAGTTTTCAGCCCAGATATTTTACATTAAAAAGAAAAATCATTTGATAAAGGAAGTGTGTAGGATTTATAGGATACACTCTTCATGGTCTTAGGCCACTTAAGACTGTGCCCTTGGAAGACTAAGAAAGAAACATTCTGAGGCCTCAAAACTACGGACCTTTGATTATTTAGGCCTCTACAAAAAATCTTGCAATGATTCCATAAACTCCAGGAAAGCCCAAGTTTCTTATTTCATAACATCATTGCAGATATTTACCCAGCTTTATATGAATTTCTGAGTTATATTTGTAAATATTTCTCCACCTCAAGTCTCAAAGTAGGCTACAAAGGTTGAGGTTGTTGGTAGGTTATTTATCCCAGGACTCTGCTTTTACAAGCTTTCCAGAGATGTGTTTCAGCTTCACTGATACGTTCTAAAAAGTATAGCTAATTTCAGCTCTAGACTGCAGAGATGTAATAAGCATGCAGTAGGCTAGATCATAAAGACTATAGTCCCACAAGCCAAATCTGGCTCACTGCCATGTTGAAACAGCATGCTTTCCTAACAGAATGGTAGAGTTGAACAATTGTGGCAGAGACCGTATGGCCCACAAATCTGAAAATGATTATTGCATGTCCAGCACAGAGTAGGCTAACTTCTTTTATCAAGGGTCAATCTTCAACTTTCTCCTTGTAGCAAGAAGTCACTGAGCTGTACAGATACACTTTCATCCAACCAACATTTATTGAAGGCCCATTATGTTTCAGGCAAAATGTAATCTGGAAACTACCTTGACACATGTGGTTTAGCAGATATGTTAAATACTTGAACCTGAGACTCCTTTCTCTGCCTCCTAATGAGGAATCCACACTTGACTGCCCCCACACTGAGTGTGCTTGACAACCAGAAACCAGACTCCTCTGAGATGAGGAATGTGTTTTTCTGGGCTGTGGCTAAATCTTCCAGTCTGCTGGCTCATCACTCCTGGCTTTTTAGCAAGGTGCTAAGATTTGGAGACAAGGGCACAGAGACCAATCGTGCATAAATACCACCCCTTTTTGGTCACCAGGAATAGTGCCTAAAACATTTGGAAATGGATTTTCAGTTTACTGTGTTTGTTTGCAACGTTTTTGTTACCATGGTTAAAAATACGCAAACCATTACTTCATTTTTGACAATAAATTGCTAAGGGGTGAACTATGTAAATCCAGAGATTTTTGGAGAACTCCCATATGGCGATTCGGGGCTCATGCTGGAGCTCCACTTGGTGCTTCCAGAGCCAATGCTGCCCTTTAGAAACTATGTTGATTAATCCTGCCTGAGGGAAAAAGAATTCAGGTCACAGCCTGGGCCAGACTGGCTGATTAAGTGCCAATTCCTGAGAATTCTTTCTCCATGGTATCTCTCTTCCTGGCTTCCTCCTTTGTCTTCCCATTGCCTCTCTGCTACCTCTGGCCTCCACTTGCTCTCTGATTCAGAGTAAAAGAAGTTCACTGGTGTCTGGGCTCTGGTGCTCACATTGCTGCTTGGCTGACATGCAAACCACAACAAGGTGCAGGCACGGCCAGAACCGGAGTTCATCCTTCTCTCCCCCATTCAGTGCCCTTTCCCTGAGCTTCATGGCTGCGTTTGGCAGGGCTCTTACTGGTGTTTTTATACCCTGCCAACTTTTATCTATTTGTGAAGGCTGAATAAAGTCCAAATTAGCTGCTTAATGGTTTGGGCACTTACATTTAAGGATCATAACAGTAAGATGCTGTTTCTACCTACACAGAAAGGAACACAAAATGACTGGTTTCTGCTGATTTCTCCCTTAATTACAAAAGAAGCCAGGAAAATTATAACTTTGGTCTTACTCATAAAGTTTTCTTGCAGAATTTTGGATTCTCTCCTAGATCTCCAATTCACTAGCCACTGTGGCTTAGACGATTTGTCCACTGTCAGGTTGAGCTATGTCTGAGCCCCACACACTAGTGGCATAATTGGATGACATATGCTTGCCAGCCAGGGCCATTTAGACCTCACACAATGGCAATGCCTCAAACCATCCAGTAGGTAGTGTATAAGACTCTGAAGCTAGAGTCACTTAGTCTTTATGAGGAATAACAGAAGCAAGGCAATGATGAGAGGAAGACAGTACACTGTGCTATGCCACTTAGTGTTGAAGAGCTAGGCCTTGGAGCTTGGGCACATGTTGGTCTGAGTCCCAACACTTCCTCGCTATGAATTGCTTAATCTTCCTTGCCTTGGGTTTCCTCATCTGTGGAACCTGGGTGGTATCTCCCACACAGAACTGTTGTAAGGATCAAATTGGGTAATGAATATGAAGGTACTTTGGATCAAAATACATCATTTTTGTCTTTTGGTTAGAAAGATTTGGAGAAATGCTGTGAAGAATCACTAAAGGCACACACAACCTACTAGACTTCTAGAGCCTTCTTGAGTACACAACACATTTTTTACTCTCAAAAAGTAGTGGTAAATCAATCTCACCAAGCCAGGCTATCCCAGTAACACAAATGGAAGTATTTTCCATTCCTCTATGCCATGCACAAATGAGTCCTTTCTCTGACCCCACTACCTCTGAGAGTAAGCACAGGAAGACTAATGAGCTATTTGTTTTTGCCATGCTTGTGGGGTTAGCCAAAAAATAGTCATTGACCCTCAAAACATTTTCTTCCTAGTACAAATAAGCAACATTTAATTCATGGCTCTATACCAACATTCTCCATGATTTTACGTATTATCTCTTAACCAAGCAGAAGACAGTATGGATTGCAATACTAGGGTTTATAAGTTAATGTTAATTATAATAATTACAACAATAATAATTATTATACGTCACTAATTACAGTGTTATTACAGTCAAATAAAAATGTTGGTTTATAATTATAATTAATAATTTATTTTTATACATTAATGTAATAATATCATCTGTTTTCAGGCAAGCAAAACTTCTCTTGTATTTTAATCAATATATCAGCCTGCACAGTAAATGAGGTTGAGTGTGCAATGTCACTACATAGTCCTTAAAACATGGCGAATGCTCAAAGTTTTGGTTGTCCTTGTTAATGTACAGACTAGTATATTAAATACTTTATTCTTATTTTTTAATATGTGAATTCTAGTCAGATCCTCACAGTATGAATTCTTGCCTCTCTGTATGGATAATGTCTATTTCTGTTCTTAATGATAACTGTCAGCCACATAAAGGAAGATTATTTTATAATGTAAAAGGATAATAATTTTAAAAATAAAACTTAAATTGGCTCCCCCTCTCCTTGGGGCAGATATCCAACTCCGCATGAGTATTTAGGTGAATGACTGAGTAATAATCACTACACTGTATTTGAGAGACTCAGGACATAAAATATCACACAAAACCATTTGCAGATCAGTTTCTTCCAAATAGCAATTTGGAGATCTAGGCCTGACCAGGACTAAATTACAAGTCTCAAAGGTATAGATTCAGTTTGTGGCCTAACCAGCCAGGACTTCTCCAGGAATATTTTTAAAATCAACTTTCCAAGTTTAAATCCAAACACATTGGAATTTTAAGAGGTTTGGGGTAGAGACGGGTATTGAGGCGTTGGAGGAAATCTTTTTTTTTTTTTTTAAACCACAGAATGTACCCAGAAATATTGACAAAAAATAGCCAATCACCGAAGATGAAGTCTGCCTGGTAAGACCATACCACCCAGGAAGGCAGTGCAGTGTGGACATCATGGAAAATTAAGATAAATCCACGATCCACAATCAAACACTAACTCTTCAGAGAAACTATTACAGCTAATTAATATAGGGCTTTGAATATTTTCTATATGCAGACAGGAGAACCCAATTAAAATGTTTGGGCACAAAAACACCAATGCCACTGTTCTGCACAGAATGCACATTATCACTGATAACTCTACCAAGTTTCTTTGAAACACATTTAGCACATTTTTGCTGTGTACTTATTCCCTTTCATTATCTCTGCTCATAGGGGTCAAGCAAGCACCAAAGCCATCAGGTGCTGGCAAAGATGTGTCAGTGGACTCTACCCATATCACAAAAAAACCAGGTAAGGAACAAGGTCCTGACTCCCTTAGTTCGCTCTGCTCTGCTGCTTGGGCAGTAACCGTAGTGGCAAATGTAGCAAAAACAGCATCCTCACAGCTCCCAAAGCACCATGCCGACACTACATGGGTACCGCTAGAGATGCATTCTAAAGCGTTATCTTTGGGACACATTAAATATGAATAAGAACCTCTAATGGGGGTACTAATTTAAGAATCACTACTTTGTATAATGTTCAGAGGGGTCACAATGGACCAACAGTAAAGATTCCTTGTGGGTTTGGGTTCTCATCATGTTCACGTTTTGTTCTTATGTAATTTACTGTATCTTTTTACCTGACAGGGTTTATGCTGGTCTCCCAGGAAGTACTTAGTCACAGGGCATTTTCCTAGGTTGTCAATTTTACTTGAAGGTTTTTAACCAACATATATTATGCAGTGAAAGAGATGAATTTTTAGGCTATAAAATCTTGTTATAACACAAGATTTAAAGTGTGGGTTAAGGTGGACTGCTCTAGGCACCTCTAGCCTTGCCAGCCTTTGTGAAAAGTATAAAAAGATACTTCTGTGCATATTATAAAAAGGTGTCTCTTCCTTCTGCCCTTTAGGCAGATCTTCCTCTGGGCTGGCAGGCTTGCACCAGGGCTCCTAGTGGGGTGATCAGAGTGGGTGTTAAACTTCAGCTTCCAGGGCACCTGGATGGCTGAGTTGGTTAAGCACTGGACTCTTGGTTTCAGCTCAAGTCATAATTTCACAGTTGGTGAGTTCATGCCCCACATCAGACTCTGTGCTGGCAGTGCAGAGCCTTCTTGGGATTCTGTCTCTCTCTTCCTGCCCCTCCCCCACTTGCTATCTATCTCTCTCTCAAAATAAATAAACATTAAAAAAAAGAAAACTTTGGTTCACACTCACATATCCCTAGCCCGGTGCCCTGTGCAGTGTGCAATTGTTTGTAGCGACATTGTTCTCCACAGGCATAGGCTTATTGCTTCTGCCATCAAGGCTGCTTTGTTGTAATCTTTTGAAATTTCTCCACTAAAGGATACATTTTATCCTTTAACAATTTAAAGCCAAATTGATATAAGAAATTGTAGTACATCTGTAAATCGAAGGCACTAGGGGGACAATGAAACTGAGAAATACTGTCGAGCCTATATGAGAAACTAAAGATCTTAAACTCTCTATATCTATACAGTTTCAAAAGCCAGATAGACCTATATGCTTTTACCCATAATTAGAGGATATTTTTTCCATATGTTAATGGGTTTCATTATCCCTGGTTACATTACCGGTATTAATTTAAAGACTGTCAGAATATATTACTCATAGGTACTTTTCTATAGCATCTGTTCTCTATCATCCAATAGCTACTTACCAAATGTACTATTTTTTAATGTTTATTTTTTTTATTTTTGAGAGAGACAGAGTGAGTCGGGAAGTGGCAGAGAGGGAGACAGAGAACCACAAGCAGACTCTGCACTGTCAGTACAGAGCCCAATGCAGGGCTCAACCTCACTAACTGTGAGATCAGGACCTGAGCCAAAACCAAGAGTTGGACACTTAACCAACTGAGCCACCCAGGTGCCCCCCAAATGTACTATTTTTTAAAACCTGACCTGTTTATGGAGTGAATCCTCATGACAGCCTTATCTGTAATGTAAATTCTTAGCCCCAATCCCAGGCACTCGCCGCCCACCCTTGCCACCTAGACCTGTGCCCCCACGAAGAAAACCTTTACCACCAAATAATGTCACCGGGAAGCCAGGAAGTGCAGGTATGTCAGTCATATGCCTAAAACTCCCTCCGTGGTTTTAGTTTTACTAGACAACCACAAACCCTTCTTGGTGTGCTAGCTCAGGCGATGGACAAGTCCATGGTGCATGTTCTCCCACAACTGGACACTGTAAATTACAGTTTTGAGGACTACTACCCTGATTCTGGATGGGTGAGATCACGGAAACCATCCCTGTGCATCTCGGCCAGTTTGCTTTTCAAATGTTGTGAGACAGACGCTCACTCAGGCCTTTGAGTGAGTGAATTATTTGGGATGATGTATGTTTCCTACCAGATATAATGGAAAATGTGATGTCCTGTCATCTGCTTATCATTGTCTCTTGGAATGAAATCCTGTACATCTCACTGAAAGCTCCCCTGTTTACCAGCCTTCATGCTGACCTCCATATCATGGAACCAGGAGAGAGATTAAGCTCTAGACACCAGCAGCTCTAGCCTGTGCAACAGGGCAGGAATATACTATAGAGCCACACATTGATATGTGTGATATCAATCAATCAATCAACCAATCAATGTGTGATATAGCCACACTATATCAAGCCACACATTGATATGTGTTGTCTCCTTCCGTGGAATGACACCTTCGAGTCACCTGGGATGCTCATACTTCATCCTTTCCTTGAAGAAGTTTTCCCCAGCTGCTCAAAGTCGCTTTAGCATTAGCATTGCTTCTGTGTTCTGGTTGTTCTTGACACTTACCTCTGTTACAGCAGAGAACAAATTGGCTTAGACTTGGGTGTTTACACACTGGTCTTCCCCTGCTAGACTAGGAGCTCTGTGATAACAGAGTCCTTGGTACCTTTTGTCTGAATTCACAGAACCAAACCCAGTGCTTGGCACACGGAGGATATTTGATAAGTAGCTGAGTAAATAAATCAGTTAAATTAAGAATAAGTGAAAATTGACTCCGTTTGGGGAAAGCTTTACCTCATTTCTCTTGAGGGCTCTTCCACTGGACCTGTCAGCAAACCATCTTTCTTTCCTCTCCCACCATCTCTACTTCTTAAATATTTTGTACATGGAATCAAGATAAACGTGTTAAGGTTGGCTGTGAAAGATGAAACTGATGATGCTTTATGTGAAAGGGAATGGATGTCACTCTTTTCATAGGATGGAAGGAGGGTATGGGGGTGGAGAAGCTTCTGTGATGTACCATGTACACAGTAAGTTCTTAATCATTTTTCCAAGTAGCTGAAGGAAGAAATCAGACTCTCATCCACACTTCTGGTGCCTTCCTGAGGCAAGGCCCAGGAACATGAACCCAATGAGGAGACCAGGTTTTCCTCATTAATTGTAACCTGGGGCAGCAATGACTTGAACTCCAGCAGGCTTCCAGTCAGACTGGATGAGTCACATCAGGAAAGTACTGCCTCAGTGTCCTCTATGGAAAATTCACCCCCCTTCCACCACCACCATTCAGTAGAGCTCCCCTATAAGGCTATGTGTCTTCAGCTATAGCTTCATGACCTTGGTTCCTGTCCTATAAAACCCTTGTGCTGTCCCATCAGTAAGTGTAACTTTGGTACAGCCAGCCCATCCTGAAGAGAACCATAAACATATTCTAAGAGTAACTCCAATTCCCCTACCCTCATTCTTGCTGTCTACCTCTAACTCAAAGGGAATGGTTCCACTGAGGAAACAAACACAAAGGGCAATTGTACAGATTTGACCTGATTAACATCAAAGAAAGTGTGTCCTTAATTCAGGACATCAACTACATGTTCTGAAGTCCTCTGAACATAAGTCCTCTCTCACATGTGCCTGTGGGCACAGTCTTAGACTACCAGGTAGCACTTGACACTTGTCCCCTGTCTCCAGATCTCCTGAAGTCTCTGAGTTTGCTTTCCTTGCCATGGTGAAAGTGCTATGTCAGTATTTCCTGCTGGCTCTGCCAACTCTGAAAAGCTCCAACTTCTCTTGGTTTTCTCTCACCTTTGCATTGTGGCCCATTCCCACTAGTACCAAAAGCATGAATCTGCAAGAGCTGGACCAGCTGCACATCTGAGTCCCTCATTCATTGTTCCATGATGAGCCATGGTCCTTGGGTCAGTCTTATAGACCTTGGCTGTCCCTTGGTTGAGAATGAGTCCTTTTCCTAGGAGGATTATAGAATCTTCTCCAGCCTCCACTCTACTCTAAACACCCAGACTTGCCTCGACTTTGGGATTGATCCTGTTTGGGATACCAATTAGTCTTTTCAGAGTAGAGGAGACGCTATTGAATATAGTATCTCAAGTGGCACTATTCTGACAACTAAGCCAGAATCACAGATATTACAGTAAGCATGTTTTTCCTTCTTGTCCAGCCATGACCCATGCCTGCCAGTTACTCTCCAGGTCAAGTCATTCTATCTCCTTGACATCTTTCATGTAAAACTATGTAAGGCTATGTGTCTTCAGCTATAGCTTCATGACCTTGGTTCCTGTCATATAAAACCCTTGTTCTATCCCATCAGTAAGTATAACTTTGGTACAGCCAGCCTATCCTGAAGAGAACCATAAACATATTATAAGAGTAACTCTAATTCCCCTAAAACACCTTCCATCTAATCTCATGGCTCCTTATGTAATTCACCTGCTCTGTTCTTCCTTACTACAGCTGCTTTAGTCTCTTGACTTTCCTCTCAGCCATCAGCTTTGCAACCTGATCATTCATCCTTTTCTCATCTGATTTTGTTATTTTCCTAGTGAAAATATTTCAGGAGGTCCTTGTCACCTA